TTTTTTTTTTTTTTTTTTTTTTTTTTTTCCCTTCATACCTTCTAATCAAAGAAATCTGCCCTCTGGGCAGTATCAGAGGACGAGAGATCGCTCGTTTGGCCCTGGCTTCTTGTTACTGTCATTCTCTCCATTCGTTTCCCATCGTTGTTGCCAGTGCTACGTCTTTCCGTCACTGCCTCTCACTCATCGGGGGTTGATCTGGTATCACCTCCTTCCCTCTTTCCTGCTATCTTTGTCACTTGCCCCTTTCCCTTTCTCTCTTTCTGTTTATTCGTCCTGGGTCTCTTTCCTACCCGTCAATCGATCGGACTTACCTCACCGCAACCATGCCCTTCTTCTCCAACTTCCGCCGTCGTTCTAAGGCCAGCTTCATGTCCAACGATACTAGGTCCAATGAATCGCAGTCTAATGGTGATGTGATCTCGGGTCAATCCTCTTCGACTCTCGACACATCCTCTCACAGCTCCGTTACTCCTCCATCGTCAATCAAACCCAATGGTACTTCGTCTTCGCCAAATCTCCCCGCGCTGAATGAAGCTCCCACCAACAACAGTAGCAGTACGAGTAGTGGAGGGACCAGCATGCCATCCACCGTGCCACCGCAACGGCCGGGTCCATATGTGACCCCATCTCAACGGAATAGCATCTTCGTACGTGACTACACTTCGCGCATGGTTGGACAAGGTTTCTACGCATAATGTACAAGAGGACTAATCATTGAACACCGTCGTGAATAGGGTGGAAGCTCCATGTCAGGCAACAGTGCTGCCCGGTCGCCAGTGCCCTCCTCTCCCTACGCTCCGAGAATTATCTCCGTTGCGGATGGTTCATGGGTAAGTGTTTATCTTGATTCTGTCTCGCTTTAAAATGGACCGCTGTAACATGTGTTAACCCACTTGAAACCCTCCCTACAGGTACATCAAAAGGTGTTACTCGTTTACGGTCAGATAGGTGACCCAAGATTGCACCCGCTGGACGGATGTGTTACCGTCAACCATCACCACGATAGCTATCCCCCGGTCTCGTGGCCCGTTAACTCCTCGCACTTCAAAGCTCTCATCCACCTCTCTCCCGGACCGAACCGACTGCGATTCGACTTTGTGTCCTCGAAATTATCGTCCGGAAGCTCCCATCCTGCGGTTCATTCGACATGGCTTTGTATCAACCACCTGCCTTTGGTCAACACCGCGCCCCTTCATCTGGTCATGCTGCTAGGGAAAGATTCGGATGGAACATTTGATGCGGTGCCGGAGCGGGTACAGCGTGAAGGGAATGGGCTGGAAACTGCCATAAGAAAGTACCGTATGGCTGCGTACCTTTGGCAAGCGTTTACAGGTGAACAGATGTTCCGCAACAACTTCGGGCGTCGTTGCTTCCGGTTTGAAGAAGAGTGGCAGACTGGCACGTTGAGCCGTCGCGATACCGCCATGGGGCAGATGCGCAACGAGGCCAAGGTTCATGTCGTCCGGACTGACAAGACGGTGGCGGAGCTCAGGGACCTTGAAATTGCTCAACAACATGGTCCGGCCACGAACAAGGACGAGTTGTTCCGTATTGCGAAGGCAGCTGTGCGGGATTATTTCAATCCCCAGCCTGGGCAAAAACAATATGTCGCAGTCATGCTTCTAGACTCGCACTGGGACAAGCAATCGCAGGTCATCACCGGCCATGCGGCTCTCGGTTCGGGGGGCGACGATATCAGAATGGCTATCTTCGGATCGCACGGTCTACAGAGCTATCCATCTAGTTTGGAAGAGGTTGTGGAAGCCCTTTCCGATTGTACGCGCACCGACACCGCGTTCGTTGCAAACGACTGCGGCGAAGCTGGTTCGAACTGGGAATCCGCGGTTTTGGGGATTGGTGCTCATCTCCACGAAGTCGGCCATCTCTTTGGATCTCCGCACCAGGAATCCGGCGTCATGCTCCGAGACTATGTGCGTTTAAACCGGACATTTATGACGCGGGAGCCATTTTCCACTCGCACCAAGACGCAGGGACTCAAGTTATGTTTGCCTCAAGATGAATGCAGCTGGCACCGTCTGGACGTTTTGCGTTTCCGTTTCCACCCCTGCTTCCGATTACCGGGGGATGCTCCCATGATTTCGGACGACAGTGTCCAGGTATGGCCAGTGGAGAGCGGAAAAATTCTTTTCACCGCAACGTCGGGCGTGGCGTTCATTGAACTGTGTGCTGAGGGAGACGACGTCTGTCACAGCTTCATCGAATACGTAAACACCGAGTCTAGTAGCAACGGGCTTCCGAAGCAAGTCACTGTCACAGAGAACGAACTCCGACAACGGTTAGCTGGAAGTGACAAAGACAAGAAAAAGAAGAAACTTAAGTTGCACGTCGTTTCTGGGGCTCTTGGCACTTATACTGTGGATGATATTGGGAGTTTGAGCTCCAAACTGTCTCTGGTGAAATTGCCCAAGAGTCAGTCGGGGTATAAGAGCGGAAAGCTCGGGTTCTCGCAAATGGAAGGCAGCCAACCTGAACAGCTCTTGTTGGATTGCGCTTTTGTTTCCACTAAGTTGTTAACATCGGTTAAAGTCTATCACGGACTAGCCCTGGATGGGCTGGAGTTCTTCTATGAAGATGCCACGAGCCAGCTCTTTGGCAAACGGGGCGGCAAGCCTGGTGGTGACGAATTCGTGTTTGGTAAGTTGAATCGGGTTTGTACTTAGGAGAAATTGAACTGACAGCTATCATAGATATTCGACGAGGCGAGATTCTATTGGGATTCTACGTCAGAGCTGGAGCTTGGATCGACGGTATTGAAATCCTCACTAGCCTGGGACGGAAATCGGGAGTGTATGGGAATGCGAACGGAGGCTCAGGGTATGTATCGAAGTAACATTTCACGACTTTCAATGTTCTTTTCTGGAAAATGGGCTGACAACTCATGATTAAATATAGACACACGTTGATACCACCACTAGGTTATAAGGTAGCTGGCATCTCCGGCTCCAGTGGAGCTTGGGTGGATGGATTTTCGTTGATTATTATGCATTGATCCTTCTATTTCTGATCTCGGCGGATCTAGACTGATGGCCTTTACTTTTTCTATCAACTGATCGCCTGAGCGAAGGTGTCGATGCAAGACAACATTAGCCTGTATGGGAAACTCGCAGTGACAATACCGCTGCCCGGAAGTGCACGGGAATCAATGCGGTTTGTCAAAGTCATTGTCCCAAGTTGACGGTGACGTTTTATGCAAAAGCTTACTCTTGCTTTTCGATTGCATTAATTGTTTTTTTTTTTTCTTTTCTTTTCTTCTGCCATATAGATGGGGGATATCCACGGATGGTTATTGTCGGACGGCTGTATTTATCTAGCGGCTGCGCGATGGATCCGCGCCGCATGCGCCGCAGTGTTTATTTGGCGCCGGTGTTTGTTGACTATGTTACAAAAGCCTATATATCTATCTTTTGCTAATGTTTTTTTTTTTTTT